TATATATATAATCGGCCATTAACTTATATATTATGTGTAATTCTAGCATATATGTTTGTGTAATAATTAAATTTTATATAAAAATTAAGTTAAGCGTAGTTTATATGCAGAATACTAAATTAGTTTCAATTTATTTTATCAAATTAACGGGTATACAAATTTCACAACGACAAATTTGTCAAATGAACTAATATAATCAGTGTTCATAATTTTCATAAAATGTTCTCTTCGTATCTACACAATTAATTGATACGTGGATTATTTGTTTATCGAATTAACAGCAGAACTGTTCTCCTATTGTGAATCTTTTGAGACTGGTTATTGGGACAATCTCACTAGAGTAGGTAGCAAACCTCCCGAAACCAAACAAAGCTTGGGCGAGCGCAAACAATATTTCTGTTGCTCGGTTTGAGTAGAATTTATTGATGACGTTATTTCCTGTATGCTTTCCTATGACTGAAAACTAAACTATTTGACCAACTTTCCAGAATACTTCCAGATATTTACCCCTGCCCGAAAAGCAACAAATTTCAAAATTAAATCGTAAAATAACGCTAAAATAAATTAAATTTTGTGTCCTCAAAGTAGGCCCATACTATTGAGTTTGAGACACCCTGTATAAACTGAATTGAAAGATTATGCACCAATATCATGCCAATTGTTGCAGATTGCAACAAAATTTCTACCACTGAAAATTTGTTTTGTAGGCACGCAATATTTTAATTCGCTCTTTTGATTGTCCTCCTATGACTCAATTGTGGCCCCATATCGGAGAAACTCGTTACCTTGGCGGTAAAATTTAAGTTTTATCACAATTAACTCCGTTCTTATTTACCTTATTATTACATTACTGCCTACAATAGCCATTTAGGCACGTGCTACCTTCTTTTTAATGTGAATCTGGTCTTAATGAGATATGCCGCGTCAGAAGCGAAAATCTGCGAATTAAGTTTCGGAGGTTTATTAATTTTTATGACTAGGCCATTTGCGGGGCTTATTACAATTATAAATGTTACTGGAAGTGTTTACGGTAACAAATCGACTATAAAGCTGAAAATGCTTCCTAAAAATACGTTTCACTTAAATGAAATTAGGATTATTTTGTTTGTATCTCGTGAATATGTTATTAACGTACTTTATTTATTTTCAGAGCATCATCATATCTTCGTAGGGGACTTAAGCCCAGAAATAGAGACACAAACACTACGGGATGCTTTTGCTGCGTTTGGGGAAATATCGTAAGTCTTATTTTTATAATTATTTTTTTTTTTGGACACACTACTACAATAAAAGCTACATGGTACTACAAAAAAATTGTTGTAAAGACTGCACAATACCGAACTATGAACAAAACATTTTTTCTACAGCTTCGTAACTACATCCATTGAAAATTTTAATAGCGCGCCGTAAATATCAATGGGTTTGACACTCTATGAGGCATTCACATCATTTATTGGCATCGGTGAAATGTCTCTATCCCTCATTGTTTTAGCATTCAAAAATATTTTACCCGGCTGTAACGGATGTTTCATATATGTTTTGTTCAAATATAATTCCACGCAGTCACATATGATTTGAGCCCTTATTTATTTTTTTACATACCAATTACAAAAGCCATTGATTTATTCCAACATTTAACACTAAATATTTTTTAAAAGTTAAATTTTGCTATGAAAACGACAACTAGTGAGGACTTTACGAATAAAATAAATTACTTAATACTATCACGAATGCGAACCCTTTGATCTTCACTGTAATGCCCAAAAGGCACCGACGAACTCACTTTTTATAAATGCTACTATGGCACAAAAAGTTATGTGGACACTTTGTTGAAAACAGTGCGTTTGTGTTTTGTTTGGCTAGCTTAATGTGGTCCTGACATTAGGTTTAATGAGTTGATGACATGGGGAATTATATCTAAAATTTGTTTCGACTTTTCAAGCAGTCCAAAGCAGGTAGCAAAAAGTTCTAGTACGAACCAGTCAAGCATGCAAAAAATATAAAAATATATACCTTATAATTTCCCTCTCTATGTAGCTAAAAACTAAGGCTAGCGATTTCTAGTATAAAGAAATCAAGAGGGCACAGTAAGTTAATTGTGTCTTAAAGTAGTGTTTGTTAAATTAGTGTAAAGTACTATTTTATTCAACACTAGTGCGTAAATATGTTACAGACTAGTGTGAAAAATAAATTGTTTAGATTTTAATTTGTTAATTTAATTTACTAAAATACAGCTTTAATATGGAAGATTAATAACTAAGTTTGAAACAAAGTTTTGCTGGTGTAAATTCAATTTATAAGTCTTATAAGTGTCTTATACAGTAGTGCGTAAAGTAAATGTTGTAAACACTATTGCGAAAAATTAAATATTTAATAAGAAATGGACGATTTAATACAAAATTTTAATTAAAGTTAAAATTGATCTAGGTTCATATAATGCCGTGGGTTGTTCATACACTAGTGCGTAATATGAAACAATGTTTCTATTAGCATGAGTAAAATATTAATTTACGCACGATGCACTACGTAAAATCTAACTTTCGACTCTTTATTTATATATTTATACATTAAAGTATGATATACAGTAATGCGTAATTTACACTAATGCGTAAAGTAAATATTTGGTAAAATCTGGACGGTTTATGACAAAATTTGTAGGCAGAATTAACCTGAACTCGGACAATACCACTTACATGTTTTAAAAATATGCCGTGGGTTGCACATAATGTGGGCACTAGTGCGTAATATGAAATGATTTTTCTACTGGCATAAGTAAAATATTAATTTACGGACGACGCACTATGTAAAATCTAACTTTCGACTAGCTCGTACATATTTATACACTAATGTATAATATACAGTATTGCGTAATTTACACTAATGCGTAATATACACTAATGCGTAAAGTAAATATTTAGTAAAATTTGGACGATTTGTAATAAAATTTATAGGTAGATTAACCTGAACTCAAATAATACCACTTAATGTTTTAAAATAATACCGTAGGTTGCATATGGATGTGGGCACTAGTGCGTAATATGGAACAATTCTTCTACTGGCATAAGTAAAATATTAATTTACGGATGATGCACTATGTAAAATCTAACTTTCGACTAGCTCGTACATATTTATACACTAATGTATAATATACAGTAATGCGTAATTTACACTAATGCGTAATATACACTAATGCGTAAAGTAAATATTTAGTAAAATCTGAACGATTTATAACAAAATTTGCTTCAAACGTAGAATTAATCTGAACTTAAATAATACCACTTACATATTTAAAAATAATGCCCTGGGTTGCACATACATGTGGATACTAGTGCGTAATATGAAACAATTTTTCTACTGGCATGAGTAAAATATTAATTTACGGACGATGCAATATGTAAAATCTAACTTTCAACTAGCGCGTGCATATTTTATACACTAATGCGTAAAGTAAATATTTTACGCGCTGATGTAAATCCAATTCATCCGCATTAGTGCTTTAATATCTTATACATATACTAGTGCGCAGTATTGTACGCTATTGCAAATTATTAAACTCGATAATGATTTAATACAATTTGGAAGATTTATAACAAAATTTGATTCAAAATTAGAAATGATCAGGACTCACATATTTTTATATAATGCCATGGATTGTACATATAGAGGCACTAGTGCATAATATGAAACAATTTTTCTACTGGCGTGAGTAAAATATAAATTTTACGCACGATGTACTATGTAAAATGTAACTTTCAACTAGCGCGTACACATTTTATACACTAATGCGTAAAGTAAATAATCTCAAGCTGGTATAACCACACTGGTGCTTTATTATCTTCCACACAGGTGCGTAAAGTAAATAATTTGCACACTATTGCGAAAAATTAATTATTTATATTTTAGTCACTGTAGCGTCGCGGCACAAATTATCAAACTGGACTATTTAAAACAAACTTTGTGTAATATGATATTCTTTACGCACTAGTGTATAAAATCAAATATCTTTTGCAGTAGTGTGTAAAATCAATTACTTTACGCTCTAGCATGCAAGACTGTTGTGATTTAATTTATAACATCTAAATTTCGGAGTAGAAAAGTAATTGTATCTGGATCATGCGTAAAGTACTTTACGCATTTGTGGCGTAAATTGATCAAATTTAGGAGCCCCTCCCTTATTAAAATCGCATCTGGTCGATGATATTTTCTACAAATATAAATTGTTCCTATACTGTTTCGGCGAGACTCAATTCCATTACAGGACATAATGCAGTTGTAATCAATAATAGCGTAAAAGTACAATAAAATTAAATTGCAGTTTGTGTGTTACTGCCAACATGTTTTATTGATCACTTAAACAAAATTAATGCCACTTCCAATGTAACGACTGTTTTGGCCACGAGAAGAATTTCAATTCCGAGTTTTTCCTATCACAACCAATTTCCCAGTAAACAAGTTTTTATCAAACCACCACGTAATTCCCTCTCTAATTGATCTCTTCTTAATAACCAGAAGGAGAAGCTATGAACTGGAATCGTAGTTTACTTCTGGAATGCAAATTTTATTCAATCCATGGGCGGTAAACAACATATAATATCGCCGGCATGAACGTGAACCTATTAGACTTGGTTCAATTTCAATTTTTATCGCCAGATTTTGCAGGATAGTGCGGCACTGTAAATTAAATCATGCATTACTCTGCTTTATACGTTCAATTTAGAGATAAAATTATTCTATTTGGTTGGTTTCCCAGGCAATATGATAGGAAATATTTGCATTTTCCTAGATTTTAATTATTTTTTTTACAGTAAAGTAATTCATTTTATGCTCTAGTGAATTGGATTTTTTTTATAAAATCACGAACTTAAATATAATTTTTTTATCATAGTAAATAATACCTTAAGCTAAAAAGGTCAATCAGGGAACTGTTTTCGTACACTTATTTTTGCCTAACGAGAAGTATATCAAACTGAGAGAGGATATGATGGTTATTAGTGCAACACATGCGTAATGTAACGCTTTTTTCATGATTGCCACAGTCATATGAGTCAAAAGTAGATATTTCACAAACGTATTGAATTTTTTCTATCCAAAAAGTTGTCAGTATTGTCCCTCTGACAATTAAAACGTAAACAACTTAACGTTTTAGTGTATCTACATTTACTACGCATTCGTGCGTAAATAAAATTACATAGTGTGCAGCGTATGTAAAATTAGCATTTTATGAAATTATTTTAAAAAACATCCAAGGAGTGATTTTTTGATGTTTTAGAATACATTTACTATAATGGTTGTTAGTGCAATACAGGCATAAAGTAACGCTTTTTTCATGATTGCGGCAGTCATGTGAGTCAAAAATAGATATTTTACACACGTACTGCATTTTTCTATCCAAAAAAGTTGTCAGTATTGTCGCTCTGACAATTAAAACGAAAACAACTTTACGCTTTAGTGTATTTACATTTACTACGTATTCGTGCGTAAATAAAATTACTTAGTGTACAGCGTATGTAAAATTAGCATTTTACGGAAATATTATATTTTAAAAACATCCAAGGAGTGATTTTTTCGATCTATTTTAGAATACGTTTACTATGTGCAACGATGAGGCGACATCAAATCAGCAAACAATTCAAAATGTAAACAATTTTACGCATTAGTGTATAAATCACTCACCAGTGCATAAATAAAATTACTTAGTGTAAGCGTGCACAAACTTAGTGTTCTTTAAAATTTACTATGTTTAGTAAAAATTTTACATACAGTATTGAAGCAAAAATCTGGCCAACAAAGTGTCGCTAATTTGTCCAAAAATGCGTGTCGCCAAAGCGTCCGCATCGCGCCAAAAAGAACAAAAATGTCTGTCCTCAAAATTTGCATATATTTGTTGTTTACAAAGTGACCTACCAATTTGCATGAACATAAAATATTTACGTATATTAATTTAACTTTGTTAAATGGTAATTTTGCAGTACGTGTAAGGGTCAGTTTGTGCCGCATGAAGGGTGTTGAAATCGAACAACCTTAACACCACAGGGTGGAGGGATGTTTTGAATGAAAACATTATTAATTCATATGCGCCGGAATTAGTCCTAGTCAGAGGTCTGGACCGCACTAAAGTTCGACAGTAAATTTTAGATTTTTATTTGTCCTGTAACGGCATATTTATGGCGGTAGACCAACCTGAACTTACATTTTTTATGCCGTGCTCATCAATTGTGTTCGGTTAACGGGGAGCTGT